TTCCTTTAATACATCTCTTACCCATGCCATATCCTAATTCGTTTGGCAACATTACACACTCTTCGATGGCCTCTCGTGTTTTGTCTCGGCAATGTTGTTTTACATATGGAACTTCTTCCCGGAATAAGTGACCCTGCACTCAACAAAGTTATCAAATTCTCTCATAAATCTCCAGTAGCTGCTGAGATTCCTGTCAAATGGTGTCAGCTTCACCTTAGGAAGGTTATGTTTTAATGAGTTCGAACAGACTGCAACTATACAATTCCCCACAGTGAGCCCTGTATCGCACGTGTCCTTTGCACTGATCGGATATACTTTCAACTTTCGGCGCACGTTACCATCCGGCACTCTCTTTGTTATTTGATTATTCTTAAATCATTCTAAAATCGGCCACTGAAAAATTTTTTAAATATATTTTGAAATTTTTGATATATGATCAGAAGTTTACTTTATGAACAATTAGAGTTCACTTGTGCCTGATTTGTTTTAATTTGTAACCTAAAAACATGTCGGACGGCTAGAATATGTACCACATGCTCCACCAAATTCAAGGAGAGGCGTGTATTGAGTATATGCGGGACCGCTATTTACGGCGTAGAACACGTACCCGTGCATGTGGTTACACAATGAACATAGAAGAGTTCTCACGGAGCCGGGATGGATTTGATTTTCAATGAACCAATTGCAACAAAAGAATTTCCATTCGGGCTGGAACATTCTTTGAGAAATCCAGGCAGCCTTTGCTGACTTTGATGGAGTTACTTTTCTAGTTCGTGTTGGAGGAGCCCGTGACACGTGCCACTGCTAAGGCTAATATGTCGCGCAAAAGTGTCATTCACTGTTACACGCACTGCAGAGATGTGTGCTCCTCTGTGATGTGCTCGTTATCTACGCAACTCTGCGGTGTTGGTGCTGTTGTCGAAGTGGATTAAAGCGTTACTGTTAAAAGCAAACAAGCAAATCGAGGTCCTCCGATAACCACTGTGTGGATGTTCGGAATGTACGACCGACGACCTGAAAAAAGATAATAATAATAATGGATGGAGAAATACTCTGTGGGGGTTTTGTTGTTCATTTTCCAAGGTTGGATCCGGCTTGGAACCACTAATTATAGGAAGAACTGGCCATAGCGGTACAGGATATAAACTGGGTACCCAACCCAGCTGATGCATCTCTGGAAACCAGATGGAGCCATATCAAAACAGTACCTCTCCTGTTCACGGATAGGTTCGCGCCTTTGGTTCCGTTATGAAAGGAGCAACGTCCTCCTTGGTGGAAAGCAAAATTAGATAGGGCTATAACCATTCGTAGAAGACGATGGGCGGTCTATAAACTGTATGGTACCCATCATTCGTGGAATGGTTACAAACAAGAGCGCAACTATGCACAGAAAGTGCAAAGGGAGGCTAAATACCAATTCGAAAACTTGGCGAAAAAAGTCTAGCGAAATCCTAAATGTTTCTGCGCGTATTTTTAATCTAAGCGCAACATTCGGAAAACGGTTGGTACTCTAGAATCGTGGTTCGGACCATTAGCACTAAGTGAAAGAGATAGAGCACTTATCCCGTTACAGTTCTTCAAAAGCACGTACAGGATAGCCAGGGTGACAGAGAACCTCCCATTGATCGAAGGTAACTGCATGATGCCCCCAATCACTGTGGAAATTCAAGATGTGCAGTGGAAGTTAACAGGGTTAAATGGGTTCAAGGCAGCGGGGCCTGACGGAATTCACCCAACGATTGTACAACCGCTGGCTGATGTCATAGTAGA